GCCTTCCAACTCCTCCGGCAAGCTACCAGATAATCGTTTACCCCTTCCCAGTTTTTCACTGGGAACCGGGGGTAAGGACGGGGCTGAAGGGGGTTAAAGGGGGCCTCCCCCAGCAGAGAGGGCTCGCTTCCCCCAGGGTTGACCCCGCTAGTCCCCTCAGGAGGGGGTATTGGAACCTCAGGCAGAGGGGGCATCGGAACCTCGGGCGGAGGAGAGGGCAGGACTGACTCAACAGACCCGAACTCAGTGCTTCCCGAAGGAGGGGTCCGGTCGGGGCGCGTCCTCTTCACCTGGCGTCTTTGGTTGCCCGAGAGAAGGCGGCGCGAATCGGCACTAGACAAGATGGCTGCCAAAAGACCACAAGATATTAGTCCAACAGGAAGCAAAATGCATGTGTACACAAGTCACAAGACGTTACGCGACCTAAAAGGCCAACCTACCCGGGCTCAAGCCTGCCTGCACGAGCTTCTCCTCGGCCAAGTAGTCAAAGCAAAGGAAGCCTACCGACACCCAAGACAACATCGTTTTCCGAGTCTCAGGGGTCCTGGATGGCGCCCCTCCAAGCGGTGGGAAAGGGCCACCCCTCAGGGTTACGGACCACAAAGTAGTCCCGCTTCCAGGCGGGGATCCTATTCGGCAGCTCGTACAAGAGCTTGTAGCCGCGACGGGGAGAGAGGTAGTAAAAGCACCTCTCCGGAGGAACCCCAGGAGCAGCATTCTTTATACAAAGGATAGAGGCGAAAATGTCAAGGTCTAAAGGGAGGCAGTACTCGTGACATGAGGATATAGTCCTAACCATGTTTCGAACAGCGTTGGGGTGAAGCTGGTCTATAGTAACGTTGAAGTGGCTCAGCACCTCCACTATCAAGGGGTGCAGGGGAAGATGCAGGCCAGCCTTGAGCTGTTCCTGAAAGATCACTATCTCATTGGGACCATGCTCCCAAGGGAAGTTGCCAGTGGGGAAGCTATAAACCAGGTCCCCGGGAAGGCGAAAGTAGCGGATCAGAGACCTGAGCCTCTTCGCTGTCATCAAGGAAGGGCCAAAGGTATCAGGCTCCCTCTCCCTAGAAGTGGACGCCATGTCGCCAGAGGCCTCCCGAGCCTCCGAGATGTGCTCCCAGGCTCCCCCCGAGCTCGAGGGAGCATCATCATCATCATGACCATCGCCCCTGTGCTAGGTATGGCGTGGGTACCCAGACATGACTGACGGCGATCGGGACTCACCATTGTAGACGGAACGGGGCGGACTGAGAAACTCGAGTAAACCAGGCGAAGTATGCAACCTCAGAATCCAAAGCAAGATGGCGTGGACGGAGGTAGGGCCGAGGGGGGCTCACCATTTATAGCCCTCGCCCTCTCAAACCGACGGCCCGGATCGAAACAGATCCAGCGGCCTGCGAGTGCCCTGACCGCATGCCTTCTGAAAACAGAAAGCGATTGGCGGCACATCTTCCACGATTAAGGTAGTCG